TATGTCTCAAATCTCTATTGTTGTCCTTTTGATGTCCTCAAAGCTGGACCACACCAGGCTTACATTGCCGTTCTGGTAAACGCAGGGAGGCACAAGCAATAAATTTCCACAATTTAGTTCCATCATTTATTATCCTCTATAATCAAACTACATATACTTCAGTTTTATATACGTATTTGTATGTACATTTACTAGCTATATTTGATTTGCTGAGTAGAAATTTAACAACTTAAACGATATTTGCAACTGAACTTCTATATTCTGGAACAAAAAGTGAATTTGAAGGAATATATATCGTAAAGAATTTCTAATGTTTTTTAAACTCATTTGTGAAGTTCAGGATGTAGATATCAAAATTGAAAGTATCTTATTTTCTACTTTACCTCTTATTTAAGAATTTGTGCGGTATTTTTAATACTTTTTAGATTAGACTTGTTTTGTTCTTTAAAGTTCATAAAAATATAATATGCAAATGGAAATAGCAGCCTATTTCCTAATTCTTCCTAAGTTTTATAAATTCAACTTATTTCCATACCATAAAGTTTAAAATAAAGAAAATCGAAGTTGAAAAATAATATATTATTATATTCTACTATTAGAAAATAGCATATTACTATTTTCTAATTCCTAAATAAAAATATTGAATATGGACATCAGAGAAATAGAATTTTCTCAAATTAAAGATTCACACAGGGTATTCTTTCTCTATGCTCTAGAAATAAAATATCTACTTAAAATATACATAATGTAGATTCCATTCTTCAACAAGATAAGATAAAATCATTGAAAATTTCAATTTTTAATAAAATGAAATTGTTGATGATGAAAATTCAGCACAAAAATAATCTTTTTAAAACTATTACATACTTATAATAAATACTTTCCACAAAGACATTGTGCGGGGACGGATGGTCAGAATACCAAACACAATTTACCGAAGACCGAGAATCAAGAGCCATCCCTGTATCCTCTAGAATACAGTGGACACTAGAGAGAGGTAGTCGCACAGGAGGTTTATTAAGCTTATTAACGGACTATACAAGGGTGGACGTACATATCTACGTCGGTGGTCGTGGAAAGTATGGCTAGCCAGAAGGGGCACAAGGGTAGAAGATAATGGTACGTGTGTGTGTGCCTTACTCTACCCCTTCATTTTATATGGCAGAATTCGAGATTTCGGCTTGTCATACCTATAATTATCACTTTCCTTTGGGTTATTTCCTCTCCGTCTAATTAATTTGTACCTTCTCACTATCTGTCTTCAAGTATCAAATTTAGTTCAATTTATGCTGAAATCAAATCAAAAATTTCAATTATACAAATAAAAGAGAATCCTACGTAGAAAATTCAAAATTAGCTGTTTACAGATAACTTTACATAGCGAATGAAATTTCATTTTCAGTATATTTCCTATTTTATGAATTTTTTCTGAAAAATTTTTAAACTTTTTTTAAATCTTTGAATTAAACGAATTAAAATTTTTTATAATTTAGCTTATAAGAAAAATTATATATATAATTTAATATATAAATAATATATATAATTTAATATATAAATAATATATATAATTTAATATATAAATAATATATATAATTATATATATAATTTTTCTTATAAGCTAAATTATAATTTCCCTCATATTCGTTGTTACAATAATAAAAATATTTTGCCTTTCTTAAATTTTATTCGATATATATAAGAGAATTACAAGTATGATAACTATGAAAAAGGACAGATGTCGATGAAATTAAAACAATATTACGATAATAATAATCGTACAATAATTTATCTTCTAAATCAATCACCCTCTTTCATAGGCTTGTTATATTCCTTGACTGCATCCCCCTTCCTATAATCACGTGGCCACCCCAACGAGTATTATTAGCTGCACGCTTTGCAATTGGATTAACGAAAGCGGAATTGCATCGACGGAAACGGAAACGGCATGGATTGTTTCGCATAGTCACGAAGGCCTACCACTTTTGCTTGTTTCATTTAATGGAAATACTTGCCAGTACCATGAGACAATCATCGTCGAATCACGATAATTTTAAACTTTATTACATGTATCATTAACTAACTTTCTATCTCTTTTAAATAAAGATTATAAAGGCAATGAAATTTCAAAGTTTTATCCTGTACTAAGTTTTTGTTCTTTAAAAAGAACGAAATTAACTGTGTCAACTAAGATTTCACTTAATTAATTTTCAAAATACAATATCAACGTCATACAATGTCAACTAAGATTTCACTTAATTAATTTTCAAAATACAATATTCATTGTTGCTTATGATTGTTTTCCACATTCCTGGATTTCATATTTAATAATTTGTTAATTAATAGTATTAGTGGTTTAAGATTATAATATAATAATTTGGAATTAAATAAAGTTGCAAATATACATAAGCAAAATCTGAGAGAATCTCATAAAAGACCTAGTAGAATTAGTGTTGAATTTACGAAAATCTTTAGAAAAATTCTTTAATTGAAAGATATTGAATAAAATAAATTAATACGAATAAACAATGGTATTTAAACAATACGAGAATGCGTGAACATAAGAACGAAGGGGACACAGGTCGAAGGAACTAAGGGTCGCAGCTTTGGGTTTTATAGAAGAGAGGAAGAGAGGTTGTCTAATCGCATCCCTAGTCCTGATTTAGGGCGGGATTTTAATTACGAAGGGTCAGTAAGTGCGGCTGTCCACTTGCTGTAAGTATTTCTCCCTTATTTATAGTTCATTAGCTTAGCTTTTGTGCAAAAGGCAGATTAACTTACGTCCCTTCTTTGCTAGTTATACGATTCCCTCCTTGAGACAAAATTTGAAATATAAATAAAACTTTCTGATAAAATGATAAAATTTAAACTTTCTTATATTGTTTTTCTGAATTTGTCAAATACATTGTTGCTTATAGATTACGATTTTATATATCTTATTATCTTTTTCCTATCGAAACAATATTTCAAAACTAATGAAAGTATATTTGCATAGACAAGATGTTAAAGATTATTTTAATCTCGTGTATATGATTAATGAGTTTGGACGTATCGCATTAAAAATTTATCGACTATCGAACCTATCAGGGAGAAATGCTTTCTACGAGACACTTTTTTCTGAGAATCGAGCTATCGATAAGCACATTTTACAAAGCCCTTCCGGTGGCGCTGAAAGTGACTCGTTCCCAAGTGATATATGCCATCCAGATAAAAAGCGTAAAAAAAATGCATCTGTTTTTCCCTCCGCGCGTTAATTTGTTATCTCGTTCATCTTATGGCTTTTGAAGCTTTACGATCTATTATTTTGAAGATTCTACAATTCATTATTTTAAAAAATAAGCAAACTGATTAAAATAAAACGATATTACTAAACGTTTACTCCAAAAAATCCTATCTTAATTAATCGTTACTTTATAGAACAAAGAACACTCTATTCTTTCTAGTGTATTCCTAATCACGAATTACACCACTATACGATTGGTACAATCTTTTATTAAAAAAAACGAATCATTCAATTAAAAAAAAAAGAAAAAAA